GTCCTTGCTGGCACACTGCTTCGTGTCCACCCCCCTTCAGGGCTCAGCCTTCTCGCTAGCACATCGTCCAGTGTCTACCTCTAATACCTTCGGTCTTCCCCCCACGGAATTTGCAAGTTCCTAAGCACATACATTGTTGCGTTTTTGGTTCAATCATATCTTCTTAAAGTGATACAATCTGAAAATCTTAATTATTTTACGCAGATCAACAAAGTATCGATACTCAACGATACAATCAAATATTTGAAGATGCTCGAAGCACGAGTACAGGAGTTGGAAACTTGCATGGACTCATTATATTATGAAGAAAGATTCAGAAGGAAATATCTTGACATGGTCGAACAGACATCAGATAACTATGACTATGATAAAATTGAAGGCACCTTAAAACCTTCAACGAACAAGAGAAAAGCCTGTGAAATGGATGAAACTGACCTTAAGCTGAAGAACAACATTCCCAAAGATGGCCTTAAACTAGATGTGAAAGTCACCATGAACGAGCAAGAGGTTCTCGTTGACATGCACTGTCCTTATCGAGAATATATATTGGTCGACGTCATGGATACTTTGAACGACTTGCAACTCGACGCCCACTCGGTTCAATCTTCTGATCGTAACGGCGTTTTCTCCCTGACCCTCAAGTCTAAGGTTTGTAGTTTAGTTTCTGTCATTTGTTTTTCATGTTTTTCATTCATAGACACACCGAAAACCCAACTCAAATTGAACCCGTCTACATCCCTAGTAGCAAAACATGGAGAAATGTCGTTTTCGACCTTACGTATGTATGAGTCGGAGGGCTTATATTATTCTTTCATAGGCTAAACCATATGTTTGCTTTACATTCCACAAGTTTGATCATAGTCTGCAAATTTATTGAACCATCGATTCGTAATGGAAATGCTGATATATTATCTTTGATGAACGGGATTATGACGATCCTTCGTTCGTTTGACGTTTTAGTCGCCATATCTATTTTAGTTATAGAACTGTGCTGTTTTCATTTAGAACGACGACTGCGTAGGAGTAGAAGTATGTTTCTGTCTGTAAATCGATTCTTGGGTAATTTACGCTGCCTGATTTCGTTTCAGTTTCGAGGGATGGTGGGTGCATCAGCTGGGATGGTCAAACTAGCACTTTTGAAAGTTGCCAACAAGAGTTGAGCCAAGCCGAACCGAACCGAGGCGAGGCGAGCGGAGAAGAAAGCTTAGGATCAATGGTGAAGCATTTTCTGTAAGTCAGTAGAGTAGAAGCAAAGGAGCTGACCTTCTAACATCCTCCCCATGGGGCTTACAAATTAGGCAAGCTTAGCATCAACTGATTAGATTGCTTAGCTTTACTGTTGTTATTTGCTACCCATAATCAACTTACCATGTTCTAATTATGAGAGTTGTAATTTCTCATCAGTATTGGTTAATAGCTAGCTAGGCTGCACTTACTTTTTTGCAACCCGACCCGAGATTTCTACACAATATCATTTATCTTTATGGTTCAATCATAAATTAAATCTCTCTCGAGCCAATGAAAAGGTGAGACCTCATTGTTCGAGTTTAAAATAAGCACTGAGGTGAATTGAACGAGACATTTCTTATAAGAGTGTGGAAATCTCTTCATGAAGATGCGTTTTAAAATCGTGGGTTGATGAAGATATGTAATGGGTCAAAGCGGATAATATCTGTTAACAGTGGACTTGGACTGTGATGTCCCACGTTTTGGTTGGGGAGGAGAACAAACCACCGTTTATAAGGGTGTGGAAACCTTCTCTTAGCATACGCGTTTTAAAGCCTTGAGGGGAAGCCCGAAAAGGAAAGCCCAAAGAAGACAATATCTGCTAGCGGTGGATCTGGGTCGTTACATGGACTGTTACAAATGGTCTCAGAGCTGGACACCGAGCAGTGTGCCAGCGGGGATGCTGGCCCTCAAAGGGGGAGAATTGTGAGATCTCACATCAAAATTTCTTATAAGGGTGTGAAAAACTTCTCAAGTAGACGTGTTTTAAAACATTGAGGGGAAGCCCATAAAGGAAAGTTTAAAAAGGACAATATCGGTTAGCGGTAAACTTGTGAGCTTAGGTTGTTACACGCTAAACGTTAAATGCGAAAAGAGAGAATTTCGTTTTATTCCCTCAACTCCTGTCACTCGTGCAAATAAAAGGATACGTCATCACAAACAAGAGTTTAGAATGCGCTCAAATTTGAGATCGAGTCACATATAGTTTAACAGTGTTGTCCACCGGAATATCAATATTAGAAAGACGAAAATCTTCTATTCAGCTTGCCTCGGGCATCTTTGAACTCACAAAATCAGCTTTCAAATTGAGTGGAAAACCGTTCTTGAAGTAGCATGACCATCCAATTGGATCTCGTTACCCTCCCGCGCGGTTATGGAGGTTGACCTACTTTCCACTTTGCTATTAATAAATATTTTAGGGCCTAGTCTTATACAAACTCATTGTATATGATACTATCACTGACCTATTTTAATTTACGAGGATTTAAAACATAAATTTTATTTAATTAAAAAAATAAAAGATTAAAAGCAATAAGTAGTAGATTGCATGATTTAATTGGAGAGAAAATAAATGATTAAACTTTAGATTAGTGGCATTTCCCCTTTTAATTTATAATTAATTAGTTGACTAAATGCCTTATTTATTTATTTATTTATTTTTATTATTTCCAAAACGGGTTTGGATTTGCTCAACGTGGCTCCCAACTTCAAGCCGACCAAACCCACTTTAAACATAATCTAACCAAAATTTAAATAGATTTTACTAAACCATATTATAATAATAATAATAAATAATAAATAATAAATAATTAAATCTCTCCTTAAATTTAGCTTTCAATTATTCATATTATATTATAAACGTGGAACAGATGATTCAAACCTTCCGTTTTTTTAGAGCTCGATGTTCAACTGATGTGACGGTTGTTCGTAAGTTGAATTGGGTCAGGTTCAGACATTTTTAGACCCAACCTAATTGATTGTTCGTTGTTGGATTGAGTCGAATTGAAACGTTTTTTAGACCCAATCTAATTAATTGTTTGTGAGTTGGGTTGGCTCGAGACATTTTTTAGACCTAACATAGTTGCTCGGATTATAAATTTCTTTTAACCCAATTCTCGTTGAATAATGAACTGAACCCAACCATAAATTTTTAGGTTGGATTGGGTTGGACTGTTCGAGTCACTTACAAGGATATTTATTTTTAGATATCTAATTAAAATTTTCCATTTAATTTCAAATATATATTTTAATCGCATCATATTAGGGACACGTGATTATATACTGACTTTTTTTCTTCTACACCTGATATCAGTACCGACTTGTCGCTGATGCACTTGATTTGTTAGGTTATTTAATGAATCAATTACACTGATGTACCTAAATATGAGTGTTGATATACCACTGATATACCTAATATGAATACTGATATCAATAATTGCTTAATTACTCGTTCGGTCGAGTGTTCTCCGTATGTTGATCAATCTATCACAAGTTGATCTGTTGTTGTCTGATATTACTAGAAATAATTTTTATTTATTTTAAGTAAAATCTAAATAATTTATTTAAATATATTGTGGAAATTCCCTTATTTTTATTTAATAAATTGGAATAAAATTGCAAATACAAAATAAAAATTTATTTTTCTTCAAAATCCTTCGTAATTGCGTTCCCAGCAAAGTCTCTCACAGTGAAACCAACCTTTTCAAATTTCCCTCTTTCGTCATTCTCCCTGAACTTCAGGTAATCCGAGCAAACAAATGGCTTATACAGTCTCTTACCGCCGTCGCCGACCACTTCCTCCGGCGCCGACACGACCTTCTCGTCCTCAAACCCCCAGAAGAATGCAATCGAGAACCGATTGATCGCCGGCCGCCGCAAAACCACTCTGTGCTCAGACGACCTAAGCCTGTCGTTGCTCCAAGCTTGAAGAAGATCGCCAATGTTCACCACAAGAGCTTCGGAATCGGATTCGGATTCGGATTCGGATTCATCACATGGGGCTATATCGACCCAATCCCCTGCGCTTGATTTCACTTGCAGACCACCTGTTTGATCTTGGTACACAATGGTCACGCAGCTCATATCCGTGTGCATTCCAAGTCCTTCTGGTTCTTCATCTTCTCCCAAGGTTTCTGGAGGTGTGTAATTGTTTATTCTCAGATATCCATGGCAATTCTTGAAATGAGATTCATGGTATTTCGTATCAAAACCTTCCCCTAAGCTCATCAATATGTTCTTTATAATCTTCCTTGATAGCTCTGTCATTTTGTCTCCATATTCTTGCAATATCTCACTTTATGCACATGAAATTAGACTGTTAGAACAATAGAACAATACTGATTTGAAGTAGATGTGCTGTGAATTGTATGTACCTGAACTGGTGAGGGCTCTTTTGGTTAAAGAGGGAATCTGCTGAACTCTGAGCAGATGCTAAGAAGTTAGGACCAGAGACTCTGAGAGTTTCAAAGAACGGGGAGGCTATGAAATGGGGAGTGTAAGTGTTCAAAGAAGAGAGAGGGCCAATTTTGAGCTTGGTTTCAGAAGGGAGGCTGAAAATTTCATTGGAGAAGGAATGGAGTTTGTTGTAGATATCTTTGGAGATTCCATGGTTTTTGATATGGAAAAAGCCCCATTTTCTGCAAGCATCAGCTAGCAAAGAAAGGGAAGAAGGAGACAATGGCTGAGAAATGTCTAAAATGGGGAGTTCCACTGAGGCCTTAGATACAGACATGTTTGGCTACTAATTTGTCTATAGCGAGCTAGCCTATACTCCATAGGTGGAGAATTATATTGCTTAAAAAGAAAGATTCAAATAGTCATAATTTGTTCTTTATTGTCTCTAGTTTTAATCATTAGTGGTTTGATTCCTGTCACTTGGAAAAGTAACAATGAAGATAATAAAAACAATAACACAGTGATTTGAAAATTGGGTAAACGATTCATAATTGTAATTAGCTAAGGGGTTTGACTTGACATGCTTAAAAATATTATTAGCTTTTGTTTGTTATAAGCAGCAAACAGGTATTGTTGGAAGCTTAAATAATGCAAGCTCTTCCATTTCCATGGAGCCAAGACAGGCTGGTAAGGAAGAAACTTTCTTCTATAGACTTTTGTTATATATATATATATATACTTGTTCTTTTGGATAGAGGTTTGACCAATGCAAATACTTTGTTAATAAGCATGTAGGAGTTAGAAAAACACTGAATGCAATCATTACTTGGTTATCAGCCCAAAAAGTTTGATCTGGTCTCCCATTTATAATATTTAGTTGTAATGTTAGATGAAGATACCGCTGCGTTGATATTTATAATGATATGTGTTGATGTCATATGGGTATCTTCATCTCGAAAGTCATCTTATGTTGCCTGCTAGATTAGGTCTTGACTTTTATTTTTCTCTTATAAACAATTGCATATTACATTAGTTTCTGAAGTTGGATTTTTACAAAGAGTGTAAATCATAGGAAGAAGTTGACCAAATTGCTTTAGTTATAGAACTGTGCCTGTTTATTGGAACAAATAGGATGTTTGGAGCTCCTCTTCCCTTCACTCTCCCATCTCTTATTTGAACCTGCTGTTGGTCTGATGGCCTTGGTTCATTAGTAACAGTCCAAGCCACCGCTAATAGATATTGTTCTCTTTGGGGTTTTTCTTTCGGGGTTCTCCTTAAGGTTTTTAAAATGCGTCTGCTAGGGAGAGGTCTCCACACATCTTATAAAGAATGTTTCGTTCTCCTCCTCAACCGATGTGGGATTTTATAATCCACACCCCTTCGGGGCCCAATATCCTTGCTGGCACTCGTACCCTTCTCCAATCAATGTGGAATCCCCTAATCCACCCCCTTTTGAGGCCTAGTGTCCTTGCTGGCACACCTCCTTGTGTCCACCCCCTTTCAGGGCTCAGCCTCCTCGCTGGCACATCGCCCGGTGTCAACTCTGATACCATTAGTAACAGCCCAAGCCCACCGCTAGTAGATATTGTCTTCTTTGGGCTTTTCCTTTCGGGCTTCCCCTAAAGATTTTTAAAACGTGTATACTAGAGAGAAGTTTCCACTCTTATAAAGAATGTTTCGTTCTCCTCCCCAACCAACGTGGGATCTCACAAATAGGTTAATTATTGTTACTCTTAGACTAACATATTGGTTCAACCAAACTAACCTAGTTACACTCCTAAATCTCACCATCAACCAGATCGTAAATGAATTATTGGGGCTATTACCCATTTGATCATACTAATAATCTCCACTAACCAAAAGTTAAAAGACGAGATGAAATCTTCCCACTTCTAAACTAACTTCCAACCTTTTTAACAAGCAGAGTAGGATGATCTAACATTTCCATTAACAAAAATATATACAATGAATATGGGCATTTTTTAAGCGACAAGCATTGGAGCAAGTTACAAAAGTGAATTGGTTTGGATACTCAAATTGTGGCTTATAAAATTTGATTGGAAATATATATGTATCTTTTTGGATTTAGTTGTTTTTAGGCAGTATCAGAAAAGGAAAAAAGTGAAACTATGAATTAATCTTTTATGAGAACAAGGATAATGGCAGACATGATATATGTGTATAGTCTCGTCCATGCTTTGTTTTAAAGTTCATGTTTTGTTTTAAAGGGAAGTTTCTGTAACAGCTCAAGCCCCACCGCAAATTCTGTTTAAACTTGTTTTTATTAATTAATTCTTTCATCCGACCAATTTCTTAACTAATGAATCATTCTCATTTGGAGATGGTGATTCACAAGAGTTGTTTCTACTGTTTACTTTAGGATGAAGCCTTTTTTTTTAGCACAAGTGGTAGAAATTGACAAGTTCACATAAATTGTTGGAGGTAACCTAGCAAGGTGGGTGAGAGAGAGCTTAATTCAAATGTGGTGCTACTCAACTCATGTGCCTATGCAGTGGTAAGACAGGTGAGGGGCTCATTTCAGGTGCGGTGCCGTCCTCATCCCCAGCTAGCGGTTCCCCAGGTAAGAGCTAATTTTAAGTGTAGTGGTTCCCAAGTGTCAGGCATTAGCAAGGTTGGAAAGAAAGCTTATTCTAGTTGTGATACTACAACATGCCCATGGAAGGAGGTCAATGATCTATGTGGTTGGATGAACCTATTTTGATGGGTCGTGTAACCGTCTAAGTTCACCGTTAGCAGATATTTTCCTCTTTGGTATTTCCCTTTCGAACTTCCCTCAAGATTTCTAAAACGCGTCCACTAGGGAGGAATTTTCACACCCTTCTAAATAATGTTTCATCCTCCCCAACTAATGTGGGATATCACAAAAACCAACCTTCTTCGGGTCCAACATCCTCGCTAGCACTCGTTTCCTTCTCCAATCAATGTGGGATCCCCCCAATCCACCCCCCTTCGGGGCTCAGTCTTCTCACTGACACATTGCCCAGTGTCTGACTCTTGATACCATTTTTCGATTTGTGCGTGTCAGTCATTCTTGCGTAAAGGCCATGCTAATCTTTTTTGATACCAAATGTAACGTCACTAATTAACCTAAGAAAATTAAGGACGTTACAAGATGTCTTTGGAGATTAATTGCTTTTATCCAATCAAGAGATGACTTGCATACAAAATGCTAGGTCATTGTTCCAAAGAACAATTTAGGTATATAGCCAACAACGAACATAAAGTATTCATCTTTCTCCTTCTATAAATAAGAACCTCAATTTCATCGTCGAGGTACATCAATTCTCACTATATCCAATTCTCACTTCATGTGTTATCCGGTAGACATGGTATGGAGGACAGGAATGGCTTCCTTGCCGTGGTCTCTAACCTCCATACCGTTTTTTTGTCCCTACAAAAATTTCTATAAAATTACGAGGATCAGATGGACAATAATAAAATTTAAAAAGTAAAAGAAAAAGCACCAAAATAAAAATAAAAACAAATAATATTTGAAGATTTAAGAAATTAAAATTAAACAAAACCCAACAAAATGAAAAAGGAAAATAAATAAAAGAAAAGAAAAGAAAAGGCAAAAAATAATGAAAATAAATAAAAGAATAGGCAACAAAATGAAATTAAACGAAACCCAACAAAATGAAAAAGGAAACTAAATAAAAGAAAAGAAAAGGCAAAAATAATGGAAATAAATAAAAGAAAACATTTCTGTTGCCGGGACTTGAACCCGGGTCTTTCGGGTGAGAGCCGAATATCCTGACCAACTAGACTACAACGGAGATTTTGATGTTTTTGATTTATTAAATTATATATTTACATTCTGAGGTATTTTTGAAGCTTATTACATTACTGAGGTATTTTTTTTAGAACCCCTTCAAGATAACAAATTTAAGGTTAGAATTATAATACAAAATATCTTCCATAGTTTAAATATTACTTTAATTCTGATATTTTTTTATTCAAATTTCAATCGAGAGTCACATCTTAGTGAAAGAAAAAGAATAGACATTTTAAAAGTATATGAACAAAAATAAATCAAAATTAAAGTCGTACTTAAATCGATTATGTAATTATTAGTTATAAATTAATAAAAAGTAAATAAACAAAAAGATGGATTTAACCTTGTAATTTAAAATTAATTCAGTATAACCTAAATTATAAAAATACTCCTAAAATTTTATATTTATTTCAAAAATACCTTTAAATTTTAAACTATTATAATAGTTGTCGTTACAAAGTTAAAAAATATAGTCTTTATTTTCAAGTCTTTTCTCTCATTTGGATGTGGTCTCAGTTCATTCATATGCTCCTCCTTTACTCGAGTATCACTAACAAATCAAACAAACTACGAGGTAAAAATCGTGTATCCTAAAAACGTAATTATAAAAAACCAAGAAGGTAGCTATAAATCAAATGATTATCAAACGATTTAAATTCTATAGAAAAGGTGGACGTTACAGAATTAATTACATTAAATTTCTTGGACTAAAATTAGGGTACACTTTAGTATTGTGCCATTTGGAAAGAACATATGGAGCAAATTCAATACAATCCAATTATCAACTCATTGATATGTGACCAAATGAGTCTTATGGGTTAGGTTAACCTATAAAGTTGGAAACCCTAGACGTAAAAAAATTGACTTGACTCGATATGTCTCGATCATGTAAATTATTAGAATATTGAATTACAATAATTAGTTACATTCTGATTTACCCGATTTAATATTGAATTATTTGACACATACGATTTCTCATACTCGACATGATTTGACATGAGACTGTTAATACAATATTGAGTTATTCAATATACGCATTTTATCGAGTAGTACTTAGGGTTCGTATTAAATAATTTTTTTTTCTATAATTAGTCTGATAATAATTCAATTAGTTAAATATTATGTCCCGATCAAAATTAGAGGTGTCGTTGAGTTAGGTTGAGACATTTAGAATCAACTTTATTGTTCGGGTTGTAAATTTTTTCAATTAATAATGAAACTAACCCAATTCAACCATAAATATTTTAGGTTAGATGGTTTTAGTTGTTCGAGTCATTTATTCAAAATTTTATTTTTAATAAAAGTAAAATATTAGTCCGTAAAACATCTATTTATTTATTTTCGAAAATTTAACTAAAATTTTAACTCAATTTCACTTCCAAACCCTTAAAAATGGATTGAATAATAAATAAAAAAAAATTAATTATGAAATTAAATAAATAAATATTAAAAAAATATATATATATATATATTTTAAAACTAACAATAGATTTGGTTCGTTCAATTCGATACAATCTAGTTTTAGAAGAACTCGTAAACCAACTAAATTCATAAAAAAATTATTTATTTAACCTTAATTCAATCTAAGTGATCGGGTTTTTTTTATCATCTGATTTTCTAAACACTCGGGATATACATAAATTTAAAATTTCTTAATAAAAAATACAATAAATTCAATAAATTACGATTTAAAATTTAATGAATTAGACAACAATTATTGAGCAAATAATGCTCGAATAAATGCAATACTAAAAATAATAATAAGATATGAATAAATGTAATCTTAGTAGGTTCAACTAATTAGATCCAATGCACACATTTTTTTTAGTCAAAGTCAAACTAATCACTCCGTTAAATTATAAAATAAAAATATCTTTGACCGATAAAGATGGTTTCAACTATATCTCGAGCTATAAATTTTTTAAAGGTCGTTAAATTTATAAGGCGAAAAGTTGTGTCGGATCATATGAACAAATCTAAACACGTGCATGAAAAAAAAAATACGGATCCTACGTGAACCATATATGTTGTTGTTTTTCTCATTTTAATCTCGACGTCCTCAATTTTTTTTCTGAACCCTAACCCTAAAATTTACTTCTCGTGACTGTTTAGATTTGTTCACATAAATGACGTATAAGCAGACACAAATTTTTATGTCTATGAATTCAACGATAAAAATCTCGAGAGTTGTTTTTGAAATATTAGACGTTTACCGTTAGGGTATTATTGAAAATAACCTTATTTTTTAAGGGTATTTTGGTAATTTAATTGTTATAATATATTAATGTATTTTCTAAACTCTTACCAAGTGGATTGCACGTCTTCCTCACGACCATGCAACTTTCGTTACATTATTTATTTAAATATTATTCTATTTAATTTTTTAAAAAATAATATTCAAATTATTATTATTATCCCCTAATTTCTTAATAAAATTCTAGTCGACCTATATAAAAAAATTAGAAATTATTTTATTTATTTTCTAGATTTAAAATATGTGTTTTTAAAGTTTAAAAATTTATTTGGATACCGATCTTTTATTTATTATTATTATTATTTTCGTATTTTTTTTAATTTAATGTGATTAATTTTAATTTTAATAACAACAATGGAATAAATTAAGTATAAACAATGTATATTTGTGACGACAAGTAGCTCAAGCTACCGACCATCAATAATTGATGTGAAATATTTAAAAATAATCGATAATTTAAAATTTTTTAAAACTCGTGGGCATTCGTAATTAAAAAATGAAACAATTCGTTTAAAAACACGATATAGATTTACAAAAATAAAAATAAAAGAAAGTAATTAAAAGATAAAATAATGTGTTCTAGTCCGACCCTTGTAGCCTCGGGGCTCAAAAGCTACGTTTAACCACCATTTAAAAAAGATTAAAGTAAAATGGATTAATAAAATTCGTTCTTAAATTTTATGTTATTAGTTCGTTCACTCGTTTGGTGTCTTATTTAGATCAAAGTAGCTCCTGCAACTCTTTGCCTACGTTAACCCGAGCTTACTTGGTTCACTTAAGTTCAAGTTAGGGTCGTAGAGCGGAATTCACAAATTCTCACTAAAATTCTCAAACGGGTCGTACAATAATTTATTAAAATTTATTATTTAAAACTAAATATTACAATATTAATGAACAAAAATTAAATTAAAAAGAAATAAGAAATAAAAGGAATATATATTTAGAAAATACGAATAATTCCACTTGCACATCCAAATTGTTTTTTTTTTCTCTTAAAAAATAAAATAAAACAAAATTGTTAAAATTCATGAGAGAAAAATCATTTTTTATTAAAATAAAAATTGTAAATTTTATATCATTTGATCATAATTTTTGTGCTGGTGGGAGAATAATTTAATTATTTTTTTTTTAATTTTAGATTATTAGATCATGGGCTAATTTTTAATAAATAAATAAGTAAATATTTGTTAGCATTAATGTCTTTTTAAATATTTTTTATTTATTATTACAATTTTAAATAATTTGCCCGTAGTCCGAGATAGACTACCCTAAACTCTAGATTTGATACTCCTAGAGTTAGCGTCGACTCGGTTAGGGGCATATATAAGTTAGGTTGAAAAAAACTTTTGAACCAATTTGAAATTTTAGGTTGATTTGGTTCGTGACCCGAACAACCCGAATAGAGTTCACAACCTAACTCAACCTACCTCTATATTTTCGAGTTGGTTGGATTCTCAATTTGTTTTTTTGTATTACATTAAAACATAAAATATTATAAAATTTAAATACCAAACATTTACAAGTCATGGATCGAACACTAGAATTAGTTACAAACGTTAAATATTTTTAATATTTTTAAAAAATAGATCGAATTGTAACTCAATTTTCGAGTTGGTCATTATTGAGTGATAGGATGATTCCGGATTTCGGTTCAAAAACTCGAAAAAGTTACTTTAATAGCATAATAACATTATTTTTTTAAATATAACAAAAATATTTCAAATTTGACCACAATACCTTAAAATATGATTTTAAAAAAAGTCAAATTTATGTTATATATATAATGAAAGCTTGTAATTCTGTGCAAGAACATATCAATGGCGGAATTACTCTGTTTTTCTCCATCTGGGTGTTCCTTTTTTGATCGAATAAAGGCAGCCACCATGTCGGCCGGCCAAGCTCTCTGCCATGAACTTCCATTGTCATGGTCCTAAAGTTGCAGAACAGCTTCCCTTTCTTTATCCAAAAGAAAAAGGAGGGAACAGCAATTCAAATCCCTTACTCTGTTCTTCAAATTTCAAACCCACGCCTTTAAAATCCCCTCGCCCCCACCACTTTTCCTCAAATCCACGCTTCAAA